CTGGCCAACATCGCGCAGCTCACGGGGCTGGACGCGGTGCGCCTCATCGGCCTCATCGTCAAGGCGGCGGCCACGGCGCGGATGCACAAGAGCAACTGCCGCCGCTTCGCGCAGCACCTCAAGCTCATCGGCGGCCTGCTGGAGCAGCTCCGGGTGTCGGAGCTCAAGAAGTACCCGGAGACGCGGGAGCCGCTGGAGCAGCTCGAGGACGCGCTCCGCCGGGGCTACCTGCTCGTCAACTCCTGCCAGGACCGCTCCTACCTCTACCTCCTCGCCATGGGCTGGAACATCGTCTACCGCTTCCGCACCGCGCAGACCGAGATCGACAACTACCTCCGCCTCGTGCCGCTCATCACGCTCGTCGACAACGCCCGCGTGCGGGTCGGTAATCTGTCACCTCTCCCAAACCTAATTGTTTCTTTAGCAGACCGAGTATAATAGTAGTGTTATTAGACACCTAGATTCGTGCTAGGCTTTTAGGAGATGTTGATTTGTTATAATTGATTCCATTCTGCTGGGATATACTTACATGCTGGTCTAGAGAAAAGGTGGTGTGCCTTTTGAGATTTGGTGGAATATGATTGAATTGGTGGCTTTCCTGAGTGAGTGCTCTGATGGGGTGTCTTGTTTTCTGCCGACTGCCTAACCAAAAGATTCTATTGTAGAATGTTTCGTTCTCTTGTTTCATTTGAGTAAAAACATACCGGCCTTTTGGCGATCATCGTTTTCGTTGTTTATGTACGCTGTACGCCTACAAACATGTAGATTGCAGCTAAGAAGTCAGGCATGAGGTCTGGTGGTTCACTAAACATGGGGTCTTGTATTAGTCCACTGTTACAATCTTTTGCTGCTTCTCCCTGTATCTTGGCTTAAGACCTATTTTGATCATCATTTTTCTCTATCTCAGGAGCGAATTGAGTACATTGAAAGGGATCAATGTGAATACTCTCTTGACGAGGAAGACAAGGAGGTCCAAGAAGCTCTGTTAAACCCTGACCCTGGCACAAATCCTTCGATAGTGCTCAAGAAGACTCTGTCCTGTTCTTATCCAAACGTGCCGTTTAATGAAGCTCTTCGGAAGGAAAGTGAGAAGCTCCAGGTGGAGCTTCAAAGATCACAAAGCAACATGGATATGGCCCAGTGCGAGGTTATTCATCACCTGCTTGGAGTAACTAGAACTGTGGCAAGTTCTATTCCAGAGGAAAGTACAGATGCCAAGGTTACCAAGAAAACCAATTCAAAGTGCACAAAAGTTAACAAAGACAGTGCAAAATCGTATGATGATGACTCCCCAAAGAAGCAAAAAGATGCCTATATTGCACCACGGTTAGTAAGTTTAGCTAAGACTCTGTTGGTGCCTGTTTATGTATGATACCGTTTCAAAGAACACAAAAGTAATACACCATTTGGGAGTCATGAATTTGTGTGCCTGGTTTAAAATTTTAAAATCTATTAGTTGGTACATCAATTTGTCTGATCTGATAGAAGAGAACTGGGCTCTTGTATGATGTTTTGAAGGTTACCCTCCACAAACTGAACTTCCATACTATAAGACCCTTGATAGTTTTCATTGTATGCAGGAGTTCTTCACCTGTTCCCTACAACCATGATCTGGTCTCGAGTACAGCATCATACAGTGATGAGTGGCATGCAGATTTACTTGGTTGCTGTTCAGAGCCAGCTCTGTGTATGTCTACTTTTTTCTCAGTGTATAGTGGAAATTTAATCATTATGCTCACTATTGAACTGATGGTTTTTATTTTATCTTTGTAGTTCTGTTCATGCTATTTCAAGCATAGATATTCACTTTTGTTAGAGATCACTCTCTAACGTACTGATAACCACTGATGGCATAGTTCGGCACAATATGTTGGGGCATTTTAATCTGAACGCAATATTGAAATCCATGCAGTGGAATGCATATTAAACTGAAAAAATATAACAGAAATGGCTCTAGGATGTTCTATTCTTAATAGGAGTACTTCTTCAGATAATGCCCTGAATTTATGAAAAACAATATGGGAGGAGGTATAATTAATGCTTATGAGTGATCGCAAATTCGCAATGATTCTTACATATTTTTCTTGCTGTTTGTCTGCTTGTGATAACACAGGTCTGAAGACCTTCTTTTTTCCATGTGGAACATTCTCAAGGATTGCTTCAATCGCCAAGAACAAGCCCATGTGTAAGAATATTCTCTAAAAGTCATTACATCAGCTGTGCAGAGTTATGACAAGCAAATTCCCACACACCTTTTTTTTATCAGTTAACCATTTGCCAAATCTTCTAATGTACTGAGCATCTTATAAATCAAATTTTCCATGGCAGCAAAGATCTTATGCATCAGGTTTACTTCTAAAAATAATGCAGTCACACCTTATGTGAACCTAACTACCCTGTAAACTAAGACTGATTTACATAGTTACTTTGTGCTGTTGTCAGCTTCGGGAGAAGCCTGCAATGATATTATGGCGTACTCCCTCATATTGTCTTGTTGCTGTTACACTTGCTGTGTAAGGAGAAAGCTTCGTCAAAGGCTAAATATTGCGGTAAATATTCCTGGACATCTAAATTTATTGCTACCAGTTGATTTATACCCCCCC